CAATCCTTTATTAAGTTCTTACAAAGTATATATTATTTCAAAAGCAATGTTTCAAAACACTGTATTTAATATCTCATTTAAGGCCAACATTTTAACATTGATTTTAGAAAGATTAACAAAAACAAATGGGTTTATCCCTTTCCAGGAATCCTTATTGGTAGGTGAAAAAAAAAGTTCATACTTCCCGGCCGGGCGCAGTGGCTCACGCCACTTTGGGAAGCCAAGGTGGGTGGATCACCTGAGGCCAGGAGTTCAAGACCAGCCTGGCCAACATGGCAAAACCCCATCTCTACTAAAAATAAAAAAATTAGCTGGGCCTGGTGGTGCGTGTTATACCAGCTACTTGGGAGGCTGCAGCAGGAGAACTGCTTGAACCCGGGAGGCAAAGGTTGCAGTGAGCCGAGATCATGCCATTGTACTCCAGCCTAGACAACAGAGCAAGACTCTGTCTCAAAAAAAAAACGAAAAAAGTCATACTTCCTCAGTAAGTGTTGACCATTATTAGTTGTAAATGAATTTCAGTTTAGTTCCATGATTTGTGGCCAAGAATATTGTAAGCAAAATAACTCCTCATACAGGAAAAAAAATCTTAACTCAGTATCTTCAGAGAATCAAAGTTGAAAATGCTATATATGAATCTGTTCTAATCACTTCTAGAAATTGGAGCTCTAAACCATGTAAATTTCCCAAAACAATTACATTTCCTGATGTGTGTATAAATATTCCCCCATGTAACTAATATTGATATCCTTTAAAAAAATCACAAAAAGTTTCTTGTACATAAAACATTTATAGATAATTAAGTACTTGTATTGATCTTCCATTAAAATAATCTACCCAACTGCAAAATAAATCTGTTTCTAAACAGTTTATTCTCTTAAGCTGATACCTAAGTAATTAAAGCATGTAGTTATATACTGTTTAAATAACCTCTGAGGAGAATTTTTGAATTGTTTTTAATCTGTCAGCTACAGGGAAAAGAAATTATCCAAGATACTTGACAGAACAGATACTGTCAACATAACTGTAAATCAAAATGTTGCATTTTAAAAAGGGAATGTAGATGGATAAATTTGTGGGAAAAGCTCATCATATTCTTACCAAGAAATTTCAGTAAATCTTGTGTAGGTATATAATTTCAGTAGCAGATAAGATGCTATATCTAATTAAATAGTTGTCCATCTTGAGGTCTGACACTTCACAGACCTTTAAAAAAGATAAAGAAGTACTTTTTATGGATTTGTTAATCCATTAAAAAAAAAGTACAGAACAGCCCAGGCAACATGACGAAACCCCACCTCTACCAAAAAATAGAAAAAATTAGGTGGGCGTGGTGGCAGGCACCTGTGGTCCCAGCTACACAGGATGCTAAGGTGGGAGGATCACTTGAGCCCAGGAGACAGAGGTTAAAGTGAGCTGAGATCACTCCACTGAACTCCAGCCTAGGAGACAGAAACCCCACCTCAAAAAAAAAAAAAAAAAAAAAAAAATACCTAGGTGGTATTAAAATATATATATATGTACACATACACACTTAATTACTACCATAACCACACATCAACATACATACAAAATGACTTTTCACATCCTTTATTAGTTTCCTAATGCCATAAAATTACCATAAACAAATTACCATAAACTTAGTGGCTTAAAACAACAGAAATGTATTATCTTACAGTTCTGGAGGTCAGAAATTCCAAATGGGTCTTAGCGGGCTAAAATAGAGATGTAGGCATGGCTGTATTACATAAGAGTCTGTTTTCTTGCCTTTTTCAGCTTCTAGGGCTCATGAACTATTCTTTGGCTCATGGCCTCCTTCCACCTTCAGAGTCAGCAATGGCTTTCTCACATCTCATCATTGACATGGATTCTTCTGCTTCCCCTTTACACACTTAAAAGACCATGTAATTAGGCCTCCTCAGGTGATCCAGAATAATCTATTTTCAGATCATCTGAGTAACAACCCTAATTTTTATCTGAAACTTGAATTATCTCTCACCATGTAACATATTAACAAATCCCACATAGATTAGGACATGTACATCTTTGGATATCTTTGGTAGACCATTATTCTGCTTACCATATGTATGAGTGATTTTTTCTTTACTTTTCTTCAGGAACTCCATGGACCATCATCCACCTCTGAAACTATATGCAAACTATTCATATATATGCATGATTCTAGAGAAAGGGTCTATAACTTTCAACAAATTTTCAAAGTTTAAGAATCACTGAGCTGGGTGCAGTGGCACTTGCCTACAGCCCCAGCTACTCGGAAGGTAGAACGGGATGATCACGTGAGTCCAGGAGTTCGAAGCCAGCCTGGGCAATATAGAGAGACCCTGTCTCTTAAAAAAACAAAAATCGGACTAGCTCATAGAACACCAATGTTCCTTAAAAGAATAGTTTCGCAGTGTCAACAATGCAAAATTTTAGATTGGCTTTTTGATGTGTATATTTTTAACTATAATCATAAAACCTTGATATGGATTGAAAGTTTTTTTTCTTGCATTTTTCCTCTGTGTGTTTTTATAGACTGTGTATAGAGAGAGAGAGAGAGAGAAAGAAAACTCACCCATGTACAAGAGCAAGAAAATGATATGGATGTTCTTGAAACTCTTTTTAATATTGTAACTTTTTGTAAATTTGAAATTATTTCCAAAAAAAAGATGTATTTTTTAAATTAAGTCCATCTCAGAGAAACAAGACCAACAGGAAAATAAAAGGAACCCGAAAACCCTGCTAAGCAAACTTTTTAATACATTCAATAGTATATACTGTTTCAAAGTCTGCGTTCTTTCTTGAAAGACAAACAGACCTATAGCTTTCACAGTTTTATCTAAATAAGTTAATATGTTGAAGCCAACATTGCATCCGTTGTAGCTTACTCATTATAAACAGCAGGAGGGAAAAAAAAGCATAGAAATTACAAGACCTCTGTTCTTCACACTACCCATGTTTACCATCCATTTGCTGGTGACTGCATTTCAGTTTCCAAGAGCAAAACCCCAGATTTTAAATTATGACTTCAGTTCTACTCCTATGACAAGTAAAGAGGGGTATGCAGAGATACTAACTGTGAGTGGAAAGGGGTAGGGGAGGGATGATTAACTCTTGACTGTATTGAAGAAAGCAAGCTGACACTTCTGCCCTAATTGAGCACCTAAGTAATTGAGTTCTTTCTTCTTATAAAGTACATTACTTTTAGGGTATTAAAGTTCCAGGCAGGAATTCTTACTAGTTTTTAACCCACGAATTTAATGGTCTGAAGTAAAAGCACTTTTTCTGTTTTTTCTTTGAAATGTAACTCAGGAATTTGCACCCCCTTGTGGTCAAACATAAATTTCTTAGTTTTCAAAAGACCATTTTTTACAATTGGGCTCTGTTCAGGCACAGGAACTACTGTATGTTAGTTGGTTTTGTTTTCTTCCATTTTAGCAAATCAAGAAGCTTTCATGAAAGAATTTTTCGTAAGACTTTAAACACAATTGGACTTAAATCTTCTAAAAATGACTTCCACATAAACTTCAGTCTCTGCAAAATAGAGATAATTGCACCCACTTCATGAGTTACATGAGGATTCAATGGGAAAATGCATGTACCTGTTTAGCCCAGTGTCTGCCACATATTAGGTCTTCAATAAATGTTATCATTTATCATCATCACTTTAGAATTCTCTTAACAGATTATATCTAGAAGGGGACTAAGATAAAAAATTCTACAGTGAGGAAACCAGATTGTGTTACTTACTTATTTGTAAGTTCTATTACAATTTTACAGATGTCTCCCAAATATGCCACTTATCCAGACTCCCCCAGCTGATTGTCCCCAAAGGTACGTTATATTTTTAAAATATAAACAATATGTAGTTATCCCTGGATGCTAGAAATTTGGATGACTTTTACTTTATATATTTTAGATGGGCCTGGGTTTTTTAACTTTAACAATCAGAAAAAGCAATAAATCTATTCCATTTCCATGTATTATTCTTATGAGATGGTAAAATAAATTAACATCCTTATTCGCCTAACAGGGATCATTATTCATATTTGGGAAAAATCATTTGTCAGTCTGATTTATCATTTTAAGGAGCTCTTGAAAAAGAATGCTAACCCCGACCGGTGTGGTGACTCACGCCTGTAATCCCAGCACTTTGGGAGGCAGAGGCATACAGAGAGGTCAGGAGTTAGAGGCCAGTCTGGCCAATATGGTGAAACTCCGTCTCTACTAAAAATACAAAAATTAGCCGGGCGTGGTGGCGCGCACCTGTAATCCCAGCTACATGGGATGCTGAGGCAGGAGAACTGCTTCAACGCGGGAGGCGGAGGTTGCAGTGAGCCAAGATCGCGCCACTGTACTCCAGCCTGGGCAACAGAGTGAGGCTCCCTCTCAGAAAGAAAAAAAAAAAATGCTGACCCCTAATTGTACTAACTGTAGTATGATTTTTTAAACAACCATTAAAGAAGCCAGTTTAAAAGATCAGTGACTGACTGACAATAACATTTACTAATATGCCAAGCACTGTTGAAATTCCTTTAATATTAGCTCATTTACATCCTTACAACAATCCAATGAGGTGTTAATAGTACTTGTTTTACAAAAGGTCCAACAGATAATTTACCCAACAAGGCCACACAGCTAGTAAGCAGTGGAGCTGGGATTCAAACCCAGGCAGCTCGGTTCCAGAGTCAAGCCCACTTAAGTAGTGCACAAAAGTACCAGAGGTTAAGTAGTTTATTTATACTACTCTGCCATGTTACTTCTTGATCTCAAATTGCTAAAATCCATTTCTTTTCCAATACACTTCAATAATGCAAACCATGCTACCCTTCTCCCACTTCCTTATTAGTACTTCAGGCACTTTCATATCTACTGTCTTATTTAACATTCACAATGAAGGTTTTAAAATATTTACAACTTTATTATCGTTAATTGTCCTATCAGAGTGCCCATTTTTTTGAAAGTAGACAGGTTTGCCTAGATATGGTGCTTCTACTTACCAGTTCTAAGACTTTCGGGCAGATTTCTTAATCTGAGCTTCAGGTGTCCTCATCTGTAAAGCGAAGATAATACCTACTTCATAAGGTTGTTGTGAGCAATAAACACGATTAATCCGTAAATCATTTATTTAGCACAGTGCACAGCACACAGTCAATACGTGGTAGCTGTCAGTTTACCAATGCGTTGCACAACAGAAACTCGTCTTTGCTGGATTCAGTTCTCTTGTCTTTGCTGGATTCAGTTCACTTACCACGCCATTAAAAAAACAAAAAAACAAAAAAAATCCTAAGTGACACAGAAAACTGCCCATTCCTATCTCAAAAGTTTAAGAACAAGTTAAGACGTAGGAGAAACTGGATTCAATGAAAGCGCCTTCGCAATAGGCAGCTTAGGACCGGAAAGAAGGGCTTCAGCAAACTTAATCATTAACTCTAGGCAGGCGCGCGCGCGCGCACACACACACACACCCCGTTGAGGAAGGAGACCACGCCTCCTGTGTGGGCTCAGGTTGGAGCGTACAGCGTGGTAGAGAACTCCAGGGCTGCTGAATCTGACAGATGTGGATTCATCCACTTCTGTGCCACTTGTGCTGTCTTGGGCAAATTACTTAATGTCTCTGAGCCTAGGTTTCCTGGTCTTCAAAACGAGAACAGTAATAGTTCCTACCTGGTAAAGTTGTTCCGAGGCTTAAGTGCGATAACCCCTGTAAAGCGCTGGCGAACGGCAAGAGCTCTACACGCGGGCGGGGCCGTTTTAAATGCACGTGTATCCATATGCAAGGTCTCATTGATACATTCCGTTGTTGGAGTTTAGACACTGTAAGACGTTTTTCTTTTCTCCTAAGCTGGACCCGTATTTGTTTACCTCCAACGTAGACTAAATGCTTGTGGGCTGATAGCTATAAGTGGACCCTCGGCCCCACAGCCTCTACCTTCACCTCCGAGTCTTTGCAAAAGCGCTACACGCACGCGCAATAAAAGAAGCAAGAGGATTGCGACCGTAGAAGCAAAGGGAGAGCCGCGCACAACGATGATTCTGCGCATGTGCACGGCGGGAGGAGAGCGAGAGTTGGAGTTTGCGCATGCGCGAAAATGTCGGGCAAGCAAGAGAAGTGGGGGTTAAGAGGCGGTATTGACAGCTGTGGAGGCAGCCCGCGTTCCCGGCATGCCCCGGGGCGGCGGGGTTGGCTCTAACGAATTTGAATGAGGAGCCTCAGCGCTTTCGGCGCCATTTTCGAGTGATGCCTGATCTCATCAATCTAGCGGGAGAGACAGGATAACCTGTCCGAGAGTATAGCGCCACTATGACTCCGCCGGAAAAATTACTTTAAAAATCACCAAAAATTACTTGGAGCAAAGGGCAGTCGGCGGAGCTTTGCCAAGGCTGGCGCAGTCGGTAAGAGCCTGAAGAAGTAGCAAAGCGGGACTTGGGAGGTGGCAGTGGTGGGACCCGGAGGCAGTGGGGGGTGCAGGGAGTGGGCGCAGGGTCTGCTCTCAATCGCGAAAAATCCGAGGAAGTGGGGTTAGGGGCAACTTGGGCGTCTGCGAGTGGGCGGCGGCGAGCGGAATGTGGCGGGAGCGCAGAGAGACGGGGCTGTGGGGGGAGGGGAGCTGCAGTTTGAGCGGGACCTGGACCGGCTGCGGCGGAGCAGCCGCCGCCCAGCGGATCTGTCAGCAAGACCCCCCGCCCGGGACCGGAGCCGGGGACGGCGCACGGCGGGGTCTCTGCAGGCGGCGGCTCCTTGACAGGAGGACTGGATGCGCGCCCCTCCCCCATTTCCGAACCGGACCGCCTTTTCTCGCCTTTTTCCCGACCCGGTGATGGCAGTCATCTCGTGACAAGAAACTTAAGGTCGACAAAAAATTCAGGACCCGGAGTCATGGGTCCCTTCGGTGGGTCGTGGCAGCAGTTCCCCCCGCCACCGCCCGGCACCCATCTATCTATATTGTCTTTTGACGCTGAAGGGTGAGGTGCCCCGGGAATGAGAGTTTCCCAAGCTCTGGCTGCCCTCCCCCGGCGCGCCGGGTCCCGGTGAGGTCTCTAGGTAGGTAGGACTGGCCGCGGCTCGCGCTTCCAAGATGGGGCAGGGGCAGGCATTTGAGGTTGTAGCGGGCTCTTAGGAAAGATGCTGGACTTTAGCTTCTTTCTGGGGATTTTTGTCATTTGCTCTCGCAGCGTTGTCCTTTCTCAAGGGGGAGGGGTGTTCACGGGTGAGATGAAAGATGGGGCTTCGAGCTAGCGATTTCCTTCTGGCTATTTCCTCCGAGTCGCACTTTTCTTAGAAGACTTTTTTCTTCTCCGGTGTTTGAAACATTTCGCAAAGAAAAAAGCAATCTGTGAAACTATTGATGTTTTCCTCCCCCAAAAGTCTTTACCCGGACAACTTAACGGTAATTTTGCGATCCCCACCTTTTCTTGACGCTGCGGAGGAGGGACGAGAGTTGTTGTTTGTCTTTCCCTTCGGTGATTTTTTTTCCCCCCCTTAGCTGGTGGTTTCTATCAATTTCTACTCCACAGCTCTTGAGTAATGTGAGCCAGTGACGGCATTAACTTTAGGTAATACTTTTATGGCCTTTGTAAAAATCCCGCGTTAAGGATGTATTAGATCTTGAGTTCTTTTCCGCGCTGGAGGCACCACTAGATTAACCCTTTGCCGGTGTATTGCGTGTCGGGCGCACGGCTCTGGGTTGCAAATATTCCGGAGATGCTTTTTGCAGCAGCTATTCTGTTCAGTTGTTCGCAAAGAGGAATAACGCTTCCTGGGAACCGCAGTGACACGCTTCTTTAGGACTGCTTGCCTACGGTTTTCCCCCCCTGGAATTGATATAACGATTGATTTATTTTTTATATTCTATGAAGACTAGGGGACCCGCCCTCGCTTAGAATGTTTCCCGGAGGAGAATAGAAGAGTGTAGTGTGATGTTTTTCAAATTGTGTCTAACGGAGCTCCCTAAACTCTGGACTTGTTACCCCCTGATTGGCTGGAAGGAAGCGGGCCTTGGGGGGTTTGAATGTTGAACGCTAGTTTATAATTCTCGACTTTACGAAAAATTATACTTTTAGCCAGAGAACCACGGAAATAGCTACGAAACGTTAGGACGAGAGTTTAGGAAAAAAAGTTGGTTTTTAATAGTTTTTTTCTCTCAGGATTTTCGTGTAGTTCTCAAATGTATATTAAAAGTAAAACTGAAGAGGCTGTTTTCGCAAAATTATGTTTCTGCTGGTTGAAATTACAAGACATTTATATATTTGTCACTGTTCTTTATTGGTTAAAAACTGAGTGAAATATTTAGTTTTTTTCCTTTGATAGGACTTTTTCACCTTAAACTACATATATTTGTTGGATGCAGATTACCGGACAGTTGTTTCTTTTATTTTGATGCAAATAAACTTTAATTTTCTTAATGTTCACGAATGATCTTTTTAACATTTTCCATAAAAATTGAACATCTTGTTTAAAAAAACTTTTCGCATCTAGTGAAAATAGACATTTTGCTAATTCAGTAACTGCAGTGAACTAAAACTTTAATTTACAAGACATTCATGTTAATTTAGACAACAGGTAAGCACAGGTGCGTATATATTATTTCGTTCCTTTGATAAATTCATTATGAAGAAATATATTGTATACAACAGTGTCAGTGTGCTGTTTTTTATGTGGTTGATTTTCAGTTGATTTTTGTTCGATGTTGCTTGAGATAGCCGTCAATATATTTCCATTTATTACCGAGCTTGTCATTCTATTTAATTGCATCTTGATAAAAGGCAGGTGTGGTTTTCAAAGAAAAGCGGTAACCGCACTGATAAACAGCTGTAGATGCTTTAAGAAAGAATTGTTTTAATTTAATATAAGTTTATATTCTTTTATGAATAGTAGTTAAAATTTTGAAGCTTATAGTGTGTATGTTCGCATTAAGTCAAATACGCATTGTTAAAAAATATTCAAATAAAAAATCTTATGGCTTTTATAAATCTCTGTAGGGCTGTAAATATAATTTATATTAGTAAGTGGAATAGCTGAGTTTATAATTCATACCATTTTGTACTGCCCTCATAACAAGAATTGTGATAACAGACCCCTTTTCATTACCTTTGTTCAGAGCTATTTATTTTGAGTCATCTTATGAAAATTTCATAAAAAGTGCTAATTATCTTCGCTATAAAATTTGATTTAATGAAATTGTAGGAGATCTCATTTCTATTTTAAACGTAATTATACCTAAAGTACCAGAACTCCTGGGTTTTGCTTTTTACTGATGGTTTTTGTTTTGACTTTTGTATTTTCATTCAAATTATGTGAGTTTTGGGGAGAGTTGGGGGCAAGCTTTAAATTCCACCAGGCTGGTTAAGTATAACCATACATTTTTAGCACTTTGGTTTATGGGATTTTTTTGTTTGTTTAGGGGGTAATGGGTAAAGGATTGTTTGTTTAATAAGCCATTTTTAAAAGAAGTGAGTGATTCCTTTATTTAAAATACATCACTTCAAACTTGAGAATACACTAGCGCCTAAATAAAATCCACAGCATTCAAAATATTTTCACTTTTATGTGATGCTATATAAGAGGAAGATTTTGGTTTTAGATTTGTGGGCATATAGATATAAGGTACAACAGATGTGTATTTTTTAATGTTTATGTGCACTTATCCATATTTTTCTGTAGAAATTGACAGCTGTAATTTGTATTATAAGGACTAGTAAAGTCATTTATTACCATAGGAAAGCAACTGCGGGGTGTGGTGTTGCTATAATAGGTCACCTCTTTTTAAAGCTATGTTTACATATTGTGGGGGAAAGGGGACTAGAGAGGGTAAGGTATCAGTCTTCCTGGTAGCATTGATTTTCATTTGTTTACCTCCACACTATTTTTAAAAATTCAAATAAAAGTGCAATTACAGACTTTTAAAAAAATGCTGTTAACCTTAGTTGTACATTTACAAAATGTAGCCTCGGGTGTTTGTATGTAACACTGCATATTTTTTCTAATCAGATTAATATCAGTTTTAATGTTTTGCATGAACTACAGCTAAGGATAAAAATTTTAAAGTAGCTTTCATAATCTGAATTCCTAGTTTCATCATGCTTTATGTAGTTTGTTTTTTTGTTTTGTGGAGACTTGTATATATTTTTGTTTGTTTGTTTATTGGTAGGTAGTAACTATTTAGAATGTCACAGAATACTTAAAGCCAGAAATATGGGTCAGTTGATTTGGTTTACAAAATGAAAAAAAATTCCTAGAGACTGTATTAGATAATTCTTATATATGACACATTAGTTTTCTTCAAAAGATTATAAATTTATAGTTTCGAAAAATTATTCTATAAAAATTTCTCTTATTTTAAAATATTACCTAAAATTGGCTCGTCGTCTTTTTCTTTTGTCTAATAAAGCTTAAAAAGTCACATATTAATTTCTTTTTAACCCCTTTTTAGAAGACACAGATTTTTGGTCTGATTATAACTAGAAAAAACAATTTAGAAAAAATTGTCATACATATAGTTTCGTGGGGGTTTTTGGTTTTGTTTTGTTTTTAATTCAGCAAACTTTGAAACATTGTATGCCAGGCAACTAATTTTGGCACATAATTAGAGCTCAAACTCTGACTTGCTGAAATTTTGTAGCCCCAAATCTCATAACACCAAAGGAAATCAGTAATAAAATACCACTTTATTTCAAATAAGCATTGAAAATGAGATTAAGCATTTAATTTTTAGAAGTGACAGTATTAAAACTTTAACGTGATTGTCTTAAGAGTAACAAGATGGATTTTTAGAATATCACATTACTTTTATATGTTTATTTATCTCGTTATTTGCAAGTACAAATGATTGTAGATCCTTCATATAAATATTACTTTCTGGTGGGGAACTGAATTTTTTTTATTTTTTTGACTTGGTTGGTTTTTTGTTTTTATTTTTTGGTCTGTATAAGAGATGCTCTAAAGGATCTTCCTTTTAGAAAGACAAGTTTTAAATATTGAAATTGATATTAAATATGTATTTGAATATTAATATTTCTTATCAAATTATAAGAAGTTTACTATACCTTTGTTTAATCCTGCCTTATTTCAGTAAAGAAAATTTGTACTGGAGTAACTCATAGTGGTTTCTAAGAATAAATAGGAAGCTCTATTTTGTAATAGATTTTAGATTTGAGTTTTACTATTTGAAGTGTTTTTAATATCGTCTTTTTTATCATACACATTGGTTTATTATTTTATCTATCTCCAAACCTCTTTTGCTTCTTATTGCTTAGTATTTTTCGTCTCCCTACTATTTAAAAATTTAACATTTGGCATGTAGTACATTTTGTTTTCTACTATTTTCCTTCTATGATTTTTAAACTTAAGATACCTTAATTTTCAGAGTGCTCAAATATAGAAAACTGTGTCTTTTAAGGAAGACTGTATAAATGATTGTAATTTTTTAAAATGTCATGGTATTTGGATTGGTGTTTGTAAGTTATGGATGATTGTGTGGGTTTTGTCATTAAACAATCAAATATTTGGAAACAGAGCAATAAAGGTTCTTCTAGTTTTTATTCTTTCATTTTCCTAAGCTATTCTTAAATATAAGTGGAAAATTTATTCAGAGCATTATGATTTACATGTAATACATGATACACCTTTGGTAATTTAATATTTTTATATAGTTGATTGCCACTGAATCATTATAATTCAGAAAGGTGAAACAAATGAAAAAAAACACTTAACATATATTCAGCTACATCTCACTGCTACTTAGAAACATTAAAAAACCATTTGGTCTAGTAGTGGTCCATTTATTATTTGTAAATATGTTAACTTGTTAAAAAAAAAATAAGCTCCACATTTTGGTCTGTTAGGACTGTAATGTATTAAAATATTTGGAAATACTGATGTTTTTCACTTAGGCTTGGCAGTAGACTAAAGTTGAAAATAATGGTAAATTCTTAGCCAGGCATGGTGGCGGGCGCCTGTATTCCCAGCTACTTGGGAGGCTGAGGCCGGAGAATCCCTAAAACCTGGAAGGCAGAGGTTGCAGTGAGTCTATATCGTGCCATTGCGCTCCAGCCTGGGCAACAAGAGCAAAACTTCGTCTCAAAAAAAGAAAGAAAGAAAAGAATGGTAAATTCTGTCGTCCTTAAAACATTTGATAATTTGGAGAGAAAGTTAAATTTTGTCCCTGTCCCTTCAGTAACTTTTTAAACTGTGTGGAATTTATGAGTTTTACAAGTACAAACTACAGTTCTGATATTTTCCTTATGAACTCCTCTTGTACCAGTCCTCTAACAGCTACCCGCATACACACTCACCCATACTACTTTGAACATAAATGCCCTAAAGAGAAATGAAAGCAGAAACATATTAATCTGATTTGTTTGAAGAGGCTTCGGATGATAAAGCATATCACAGGTGTTTCTAATCAAGTTATTTCTGTTTTGAAAACATTTTCAAGTTAGAGCTTCCCTGAACATTGGCAAGATTGGGGTCATTTTGAAGACCATACCCCTGTGTTCAGGGATCAACTGTGGAACTGCAGGAGATGGAAATCTGTTGAGTGTCTTCATGCTATAATACATGACATTTTTATTGCAGGTTTTGACCTGTAGCAGAGAACCAATTCTGGAGAACAGCCTCACTTCTTTGATTGAATACTCACATAATGCATTGGAACATGACATGAGATTAAGGTATACTAATGAATTTTAAAACCATATAATTTTATGCCTTCGCAATATTTATTAATTGGACTAGACAATTGGTAAAGCTGAAACTTTTACGTGAACTAAAATCAATAATTACTAATAAACAGAAATCATCATGTGAAGTGGCCATAGCTGAGTTGTCTAGCTTACTAAAACTCCAGATTTTTTAAATACAGTTAATGTTCTTTTCATCATCCTAAGGTGTAACTCCAACTGAATTTATTCCAAAAATATGTATATATAGTAATTTTTATTTTCTTAAGGTTATTACAGTGTACTCAGTAAAATATGAACTTTTCGTCTTATAAAATGGAGAGTTTAAATCAAATGGAATTTGGTGCTTAGCTGTTTGACAGGTGGTAGAGTAGTAGGTAGAGCCCACAAAATTAGGTAAAATTGATGAGAATATTTTAAGAAAATGTAAAGTATTCCAAGTACTGCCCTAACCAAAAGTGGCAATATGGTCGAAACTGAAAAAACCACTTTCTTAAGCAGAAATTACTAATGTCTTACTCAAGATATGCTGAGTAAAATAAGTTGTTAATATCAAAAGTTGCAGACTCTAAAAATAAAATTGTAGAATCCCTAAACCTCCAGTGATTTTTATACTTTTACTTGAAAATTTCAGATAGTATTTAACTAATACAGCTTTTATTTTCTAAAATAGTAATCTGGTATAGTGAAAATGAACTTATTGAACAGTATTACTAAGTATTACTTGGTTAATTCTTTCATAGTAAAGTATTAATCTTATATGTACATATGTATGTGTTTATGTAAAAACTACTTGCTAAAGTAAGGTTTACTAACATAGTACAATATTTATTTTGATTTTTTCACCTAAAATATTTATATACTTAGAGGAAATGTCAAAAGTTGTTTTCATGAGAAAATTATTATTTAGTCTTAAGAATGAAGTATATCATCATGATCATAGAACTGCTTTTAACTTCCAACAATGTAAAATTTTTAAAGGTGAATTCTGAGATGTGTTTAAGAGTGAATGTTGAAATACATATCAAAATACTAAAAACTGAAATTTGGTATTTCTATATTGTTGGATATTAGGTAGATAATCCAGGAATTAATCGATTAACAGTTGAAGTTAAACAAAATGTAAAAATGTTTAGAAATCAGAGTTTAATATAAGGGTGAAGTTTAAATACTTTTATATTGGTGTCATACTGTAATGTGATTGAGATAATTATAAGGTGTAGAATGTCTTCGTATGTTTGATTTTATTTTATTTTATTTTATTTTTTATGAAAAAGCAGCTTAGTTTGAATAGAATGAAAATAAATACAGTTTTTCCCTCCCTGACTTAACAAGTATTTTTCAGGTTAGAGAACATTAAGATGAAAAGTGAAAAATATGGTTACATGAGTGTCTGGGGAAAAAAATCCAGGTTCAGTTTATCACTTTCAGTGCGTATCTTTACAACAACCTTAATGAGTTAAATAGGAAAAGAGAGACAACATTTGAGTTTATATGGTAGATAAGATATAAATCCACAGAGTTGTTCCAAATTTAGAGAGTTTATGATTTGTGATCTTTGAAGATATCCAAACTTATTTTGAACACAAATATATAGCATCACATAATTGTTCTTCCTATAGTTATTTTACTAGGTTATAAACTTCTAATAATTTAGCTTAGTAAATAATTTCATATCTAGAAGAATCAATACAAATATTAACAGTTTACTTGTATTTGGTCAATTCTTACAGGGTGAGAAACTTTAACCTAATTAGGAGTATGTTATTTTAGGAGGCCAATTAACAAAGGGTTTAACTGCTATGTATGATTGGCTCTCTTTTAACTACCCCTTGAAAGACATTTTGTAAAGATTTTGACTGTTTTAAATTTGCAAACCTGATTATCTAAATTTAAGCCCTGATATGTAGTTAATTATGTTGGAATTTGGGGGAAGAGATTTATTGTGTTAATTTTTATCTTTTTTTCAGTGATTTGTGTCACCTTTGTTCAATATTTATGTTTTTGGCTAAATGCATAATCAGGGTTAAATAACATTCACTTTTGGGAAAAATTCTTAGCTGTCCCTAAAATACAGTTATACCATGGTTGTTCCTGTCTTACTGAAATAGTTTTTTTAGGATAGAAAGAATATTTGAATAAACTAGAATAGAGGAAACTTAACATATCTACATATGAAGGAACTTTGTTATTTGTCAGATGTATAATACTAGTTTATAAGGATATGTTACATTTTAGGCAGTTTGTCAGCTATGACAATTTTAATAGAGGTTTTATATATTGCTTAGAATTTGTTAAATAATAGATACAATTAACTTTTTAAATAAAAGTTTTAAAAGTATTTATTTGAAGCAGTTTTGTACATGTATGTATTTTATGTGTTTTTTCTTAAACTAGCAAATAACATCCTTAACCTATTTCAGTTGTTTTTCTTCAAATGAGATCTAATGTATCAGAATTATATTTTCTGATAAACATTTTTCAAAGGGTAATAATTAATGTGAGGGTTTAAAATTCATATTAAATACATTTTGAGTTGAAATTTCTATTCACAGTACCACAAACCATACTTTTGATACTTCATTAACATATTATTTGATTTAGTTTTACTTTCCAATTTTCATGGTTAGAATCTTGGAGGAGATATGTGAAGCATATTTCACATGTGGCTGCTGAGACTGATTAATCCTACTGGTTAATAGTTTATTAATCCATTACTGTGTCTAAGTGTCTAGATTTTTAAAAATCTTTCTTTAGGATTTGCTGTTAGTCTTTTTTATTTTATATCCTTCATACCAAACAAATAAAGTATCCTGGTATCCTCTGATCTTCAGAATTATTTTTATTATTATTAACATTTTTTGTTCCTCATTGAGATGCTAAGCAGAAAAATTTTTCAATTTTGATAAAAATAGAAGATTGGGGTTGGGTTTTGATTTTTTACAAAATATCTAAATTTAAAATATTGCTACTGTTTCATACTTTTATTTTAAAATGTCTCAAACTTAGCCTTCTTGATTAAGTATTATTATTTAAACTTACTAGCCAGTTCTAGCCTATGTGGGTTTTTCTTTTTAATAGTTTATAGATCTCCAAATTTTTCTGACTTTTTATATTTTTCTGAATCACAAATTGCTTAAGGTTCTAAAAGATGAGTTGCCTTTAGAGTTAAAGCTGTAAATCTATAAATAGCATCACATTACATTTAAAGGTAATTGAACAATGAATATTTCTGTTACTCATCAATTAATACTATGTACTTACTGAGTTTTTAACTTTATATTGCACATTTAAAATAGGTAAATTGCATATGGAAGTTTTTTTAATGGGATTTATGCAAAAACATTATGGACTAAAATCTTACCTCTTTGCTAATAGTGTCTAAAGTCAAACATATGGTGGTAATTAGATATGGGGTTCTTGGGAGCCAGAGGCATTTTGTAAGTAAAATAAAGTGTCATTTCTTGATTGGAGTTTGACACTTTCTTATTTTCCAGGAGAATAGGTAGGGAAGTTACTCTCTTTATGAATTTACCCCAACATTGGTTAAAACTCTTCAGAGAATTTTGATAATTGAGCGGTTAAATCTAAACTTACAAGGGGAAGATTATTATATATGTCATTAATTTCCTTTTCCTTGCATACATTATAGGTTCCCTTTCTAATCAAAACACCAATTTTGTCTTTTTTCTCTCCCCACCCCACTTTTTAAACAAAAAATTATTTTAAAAATAATTTTATCATATAGTGATATAAGCAGACCTTGAGAGGTAGGTTGATCTCTGAACCATTTTTCCTCTGTGTCAGTTGTATAGTCTTTTCTCAGCTTGCTGTTTAAGAAGCAGCAGCAGCAGCAGCAACAGCAGTGAATAAACAAGATATCACCACAGCCCTTGTTCTTACCCCTTACAGCTGGGAGCAGAGGCTGGGAGATCGATGCTGCTTGTCAGCTGTTGTGCAGAATAACATCAATATGCAATAATGGTAGCCAAAGGAGCCTGCACCCATCCGTTTTTACAAACCTAGGTGGGAAGAGCCCAACTGTCACTGTACCACATACACAGTATAGAGAATACATTCTTTAGCAGAAAGGTTGCAGCATAAAGAGAACAGTAGATGCTTGTAGTTCTTAGACTCTATTATTTTTTTACTGTTTACTCTGTGGCTTTAGTTCATTTAATTTTTATTCAGTTAATTCCATCCATTAGAATGGAAAACCTGTCTTGTTTCTAGAGGTATAGGTAGTATGTTTCATGTATATATGGTATGTTTCATGTTTTCACTTTTAAGCATGTAGACTGAAAAAAATTATAATTAGTTGCTGATATCACAAGTTAGGTAATATATTGAGGATAGAAAAGAAAAGTTGGCCATGGCCACACAGGAGTGTTTCTTTCACTTTTGGACCATATTATCTTTGTTTTATAAAAGCCCAGTCTAACAAGGCCAAATTCTTGTTGATTTCACTATAATAGAAGAAAGAAAACAACATTCTATATTTACTTAGTGTTGTAAATAACTAAAAGCAGGCAACAGATGAAAACTTATGTCTTTTTTCTTACTACTAAACTATTTTTCTATTTACCATTTCTCACTGAAATATCTTTTATCTGAACTTTTTATCTAGAAAGCTCAGATTATTCTAAATCTTTTGGAAATAGGACTTTGTAATTTCAAATACTGTAGAAGAATGTTTTTATTTTTATAATTTGAATTTGCACAGATTTTTATAACCTAAATATTCCAATTTTTTTCTTCCTTTTACATCTAATTTCAATAGGTGAGAGTTACAGAGAAGTGTGAATATTGGATTTCTATAAATGTTCTGAATTTATTTGTAGAATTCTTGGTGGGAAACTACTAAGGATGTGTGTGTGTGTGTGTGTGTGTGTGTGTGTGTGTGTGTGTGTGTATAAAGCCAAATGTCCTGATTAAAGTTTGACATTTGCAATAGCTTTCTGTTTAAAAGGTAATCATAGTTGCTTTCTGGTCATCTTCATTAAAATCACTCCTGATCACTCTCACTCTTAATATTTTCCTGTGCCAATCACAGTAAATTCAGAACATTAGTTCCCTGCTAATATTACCAAAAAGAGCTTTGTCATATATGTGTCTAGTTATCTGAAAAAATAAATGAGCCCACAACCTATTCTGGCATTGTGAAGTCAAGCATATTCAGCCATAAATTGAGGTTACTTTTTCGTTGTTGTTGACTAATGCTAGAGGTTTTTAAAAAAATATGTTTATGTAATTTAGCAGATAACATATTAATTACTGTTACCTCCCCTAACTAAAACATGAGTTACATAATCCTCTGTGTTGAAAACACCTCATTTTAAATCATTACTTACTGCTTAATGCCTGCGAACCACCTGTATGAGAATAACCTAGAATTTAAAAAATAAAATAAAAACATTTTTCCAGACCTGGAATTTGCATTTTTTTACAAGCTCTAAGAGATTTTTCTTAGGAGCACCAACCACATTTGTGAGAAGCACTACCCAAAATGAACTTGGGGGAGGGATTGTTCATACCAACAAACCAGCTACTTTTCCTGCATGTTTTTTTCCCTCTTTGGTCATCTTGAATCTAAGCTTAATATTTAATTAGGAATCTTATCATTTCTAGATTAAGTTCTTGAATCTTAAATTCGGCTGATTAAAAAATAGATTAGGTCTTGGTATTTCCTCAGTCATATAAGGAAAATCTGTGTTATCAGAGCTTTGTTTTCATGTAAGTGCCTTGGGCCAAATTTCAGTCTATTCTCTTTGTTTGGAACATTTAGTATACCTATGTTAAACCAATACTTGATGAAAACCAAAGGAATTGATCCCTTACGAATTTTTAAATTTTCATATAGATAGTAGCTGTTTTTCTTAAATATGCTTCCAAATGTTGGAGGAAATATAAAATGAGGAACTTTTCATATGCTGCTTGTGGGAGCATTTAGCAGTATCTTTGTAAAATTGAAGATACAATAGGCTTTCACCGAACAATTTTATTCCTAGATGCTCTAGATAAACTCAGACATGTAAAAAAAAAAAGTCTTGGTTATTTGTAATTGGAAAAAAAATGAAAGCAATGTAAATGTTAAGAAGAGAATGGCAAATTGTGACATCGTCATGTGATGAACTGTAGAGCTACTAAAATGAGAGCTGTGTTTGTCATCATGGGTGAATATCCTACCTCCACAAACAAAAATAAGTTGCATAAAGGTTATATACAGAGTAACATGTATGTAAAATATGTATGATATACCATTTATCGATAGCTTGAAAGCAATGATAAAATTGGACATAATCTGTATGTGTAATCAATTTTCATAAAAAACAAAGCAAAGTAAGCATGGCATAGTTTTAGATTTCAGTACAGCTGGATTGGGAGTCCAGAGATAGGATGTGGAGGTTCATTTTGGTATTCCCTTGATTTTTCTATGAATTTTGAAGCAAATGATTTTGAAATTTTTAAAAACATGCTGTTCTTCTTCTGTGACGATTAGTCTACAGTAAAACATATACTTGCAGTTCTCCGTTTAAAAAATGGATGGGTTTGTCGTATTCTTTCTATTCTTTATCTTATAGTAAGTGCTTAACTATTAGTTGATGTAACAACTACATCTTAGAATCATGACCCACAGAAACCAAACATGCTAACCAACTCAAATTACCAGCATATCTTTAAAAATATGTCATATGTTCCTTCCTTTGTGTACTTGGAATTGTGCAGTATACAATACATGGATTATAGATTATGCAATGGTATGTGTGTGAGAGACATGAATCAGTCTTGGGATATGATCTTGAATTTATCTTAAAATATCTGCAAATATATGATGTCCTCCAGAAGCTCATTGGACTCCAAGTTAGAGTTTTAGGTTTGACTAAAATTTTTGAGTTAAACTTCAAGAGGGCAATAGTAATAGAATAGCAAATTATAAAAGCCAATGATAAGCAGGATGTAGTGGCATGCAGGCCTGTAATCCCAGCTGCTTGGGAAGTTGAGGCAGGAGAATAGCTTAAACTCAAGAGTTTGAAGTTGCAGTGAGTTAGGACCACACCATTGCACTCCAGCCTGGTTGATAGAGTAAGACCCCATCTCTTAACAAAAAAAAACTTAACAAGAATGCTGCACTGGGCTAAAACATACAAATACTGCTGGGTGTTTATAATCTGATTGTTCTGTGCTATATAAGGATCAGAATACAGTTGTGGCAACCTCAGTTGAAATGTTCTAACTTACATATAATGTGATGAAATTTTTAAAGTCTTCCCTCTTTTTCCTAGGTTTAATAATGATAGAATGAAGACCATAATAAAAGAGATCTCTACTTAGCTCAGCAATTCTTACCTTGTAAGTATTAACTCTGAGTCTCCCTATCATTGTCATAAAAGGTTACTGTTTGGTGTCATGTTCTGGTTTATTTCTGATTTTTTTTCCTGCTTATCCTAGTATGCTCACTTTCTAGCCTCTCCTAGCCCCTCTACACGTTGAGATTTGATGTTAATTAATAGTTTAGAGCAAGAATAATGCCATTGCCGTGGTAAGTTATTTAGGGAAGTATTTTATACCTGGGCCCTATAATCTCCAAGTCTGAGAATCACAATTTTGAGCCCTTTTCCTTCAAAGGAATTAACAGATAAGTAATTGTCTTTTTTAGTACCATCATTATTCAGGTTTATTGGTCTTATGGTTTTATACATTGAGAATATTCTCTCCACTTGGGAAATTATTTTGTAAAATTTGTTTTTAATTTCATTAGGTTACACTGAAGACTTTGTGAAGAGCTTAACATTTAGCTGTTAAAACTTGAGGTGGGAGAAACATGAAAGCAGTCCCTTTTCCTTCCCTTTTGTTTTTTTGGTTTTTTTTTAATTTATTCAGTACATATTTCTTGAGCATCTACCATGTTCCTAGTACTTTTCTAGGAGCTGAAGGTATAGCAGTGAACAAAACAGATAAACAAGTAAGTACATAAATTAGAAGATTTCTGACATGGATTCAAAGTCAGAGGTTTCGGGTCAGGGCCAGGACCCTGCATCTTTAGCAAGCTTTACCTGAGTAGGATGGCAGCTGATCTGTGGTCCATGCATCATGTAAAGAACCCGCTCCAAAGAGCCAGGGAGCAGTGTCCAGCTGCAAGTCCCCCTATCTTCCGTCAGGGAAGTTTGCAGAAGTGAATCAGTGGATGGCAACACCCAAGTGATACCTTCAGGGTAGACAGGAAGGCAGTCTGTTTAGTTGAAGGTCAGGAGCAGTCACCTTAATTATTCAAGACATCATTTCTTGCCCTGGATTGCCCCATCACCTCCCAAGCTAAACTTCAGATATTTCCTGCAAATATCAAAATGAGGATTTGTTTTTCTCCTTTTTCCTTCCTTTTATATATACACATGCATACCTCTTTTTTAGAATAAGAAACATTTTTCCCCAATTCATTTAACTTTTGAGACACTTAGAAATTCTAAAAGAATAATTTTAACAAGTTAACTGAAATTAATATTATGCCTCTAGAAAAACTCACAAGATCAAGGGCATATAAAATGCTCAGGATACTTGTTTCCATAGAAATATTTGAGACCCTAAAATCAGTTACCAAAAAATGTCATTTCCATCCATTCCTTGAGCTGATTCTGCATCTCTAAAGAAAAACTCAAGGGCAAGACTTTCTGTTCTTAATGATGTTGAGGGCATGTCTCTGTTTAAATGAAACAAGTGCTTCAGATGCTTTTATTACATTATCTCACAGTGACTCAAATAATATGTATGTGTTGGGGATGGCCTTATGATCATAGACAATCAGCCATTGAACTCAATAAGGTGAGAATTTTTAGGTGGGGGATCAATTAAATATTGAAAACTGTTAATAATAAGCCAGTTTGCAAAGTAGTAGCCAAATGCCACAGGTCACTTTCTTTTTCTAATTTTCTCCCGGTTACGTTTTTGTCTCTGGAAAATTAGAATGGAAACATTTGCAAATCCCTAAAGAATCCTATATAGTCCAGGCTTGAATTCCTTAATTAGTCCCTTGGAAGCCAGCTCAGCCCTTCTTCAACTTAACTCTTAAATAAAGAAGTCTTTTTAATTCTTATTACACTCGGACTGGAGGGCAGTCCACTTTTCAAAAAGAAATAGGTATCATTTAATTTCTAACAGATACATAAGCACAGATAACATCACATTCTTCATTTCATCTCCTTTATAAATTTCTAAGCTAGCAGTCTTTCTTGGATACTCTCCAGCATTTTTTAAACATAAGCCATTTATCATATTTCATAGTTGGAATGCTTTCTGTTGTCTGTTCTAGGTAGATTCCCCTTAATCTTAGATCGTAAAATGGTGATGTTTCCAATTAAACAATACCCAGAATAATAGGTACATAGTGACTGACAATAGTGAGTGATGCTGTGTGATTGTGTGTTCCCCTTCTCTCATTTTTTTAATGTTTGTTTAATGCCATTTTTTTAAAGATGGGATATATATAAATAGGGATATATATATATAGATATCTTTTTTCTTTTTTTTTTTTTTTTTTTTTTTGAGACAGAGCGTCACTCTTGTTGCCGAGCTGGAGTGCAGTGGTATGATCTTGGCCCACCAAACCTCCACCTCCCGAGTTCAAGTGATTCTCCTGCCTCAGCCTCCTAAGTCACTGGGGTTACAGGCATGCGCCACTGCGCCCAGCTAATTTTGTTTTTTTTGTTTGTATAGATGGGGTTTCTCTATGTTGGTCAGGCTGGTCTCGAACTCCTAACCTCAGATGATCTGCCTGCCTCAGCCTCCCTAAGTGCTGGGATTACAGGTGTGAGCCACCTCGCCCAGCCTAAGATGGGATTTTTTTTTTAAGCTGTTCGTTTGTGGAATGTGGATGTTCTAGAAGTTGTAGAACAGTGATGTTCATGTATACAGTGCTGTCAAACAATGGCAGTTTGGGATTCATTTGTACAAATTAAATATAGAGATGGAATATTTTTCAAGTTTATTTTTCAATTTAGAGATCTTAAACTTTCGTTGCTTAACAAAAAATTAAGAAAGAATTATATGTCTTTTCTTTTTCTTTTTTGAACTATTTTTATTTTTCACATGGCATTTTTGAGTAGATAAATTATATATTTCTGTTTGTAAATGTAAACATATGATTACCTGCAAACGTAAATGCATGTTTACATCTTTTATGTAAATTTAAATATATATTTGGTGCTTAAAAAACATCTTTAGGTACATTGTCAGCAGTTAAGAACATTACATCTCTCTTTTTAATAATCTACAACAATAAAAAATCTTAAAACATTGACTTTATAAATAGAGAAAGAAAAGATGAAACAGAAAATTCATCAGTGCTGTCAATGTTAGTTCCATAAACAAAAATGATAGACATAAATTACTTCCTAATTCCAAAGACTTACTAAATTTGGCTGCTATCAAGAACAAGGCTAGTAAAAAGAAATAACAAAATATTTCTCACATATGACTAATTATCAATAAGTTTTTAGAAGTATTATCAAGTTAGCAATAAAAGCAATGGCATGTAATCATATCAGCCTAGAAAACATTGTCAATTGTTAAATTATAAATAGTACAAATGTAGGACTGACTGAAAATACTGCAAAAAAAATCACAATATTTTAATTAGTGTAGCAGTAAGTAATCGATGATAGGGCAAATGATATAAAATCTGTCGTGCTTTCAATAAAATCATAATGATGTAATTATGTTATGTACTAGACATAGCCAAAGTTTCTCCTATTTTTAATTATTCTGATAGAAATTTACTGTTGTGTAAATTGCTGTATACCTGTGCCACTGATGAGGAAATTCTAATTATCTTGAATAGTTTTAAAAATAGGAATGTTTCTGGGAGAAAGGAATTTCCCAAAAGAGAAAAAATAAATTGCTCTTTTGGCAGTTGGATTAGTGGTGAAGAGTGTCATAATCCAAAAATTTCATAAAGGTACCAGCTATTGTCAGCATTTGGTAGTAAAGAGAATGTCTTATAAACCTATTGATATGAAGTGCCATTAATTTAGTAAATATATAAAATCTAGGCTCTTGTGTATTCCATAATTTATGAATATAGAGAAGGTTCACAATATGCTGCAACTGTGTTTCATTGTTCAAATAATTGCTGTTTTTGAGAATTAGACATTTAATAAAAATGCCAGGTGTTCCTTGTCCTCATTCTTCCATATTTGTCTTATATATGTTTAGCAAAATGATTGAGTTAAATATGAGCTTTTATGTTCAAACGATGGCTGTGTTTTTGCTCTTAATAAAATTGCAGCCATAAAATTTGATTTTTAGTGCCAAAATTATAAAAAGGGGTTGGGTTTGTTTCAACCCGAACAACTTCTTACCTTCAAGATGGATGATTCAAAGACGAATAATAGGGAATTTCTTATTTATGAAGTTACTTGGTTGTTTTCTTAGGAAAACAAAAACAAGGTAGAATTTAACAGCATGGGGCCTGATTTAAATAGAAAATAAGTGTACTGATATAATCAACTCTGCTGTCATGGGGATTTCAAGTTATAAATGTAACAGGTAATATCCCCTGACTTATTCTATATACTTTTGCCCTAATCTACTACCTATTAGTCTGAAACTTGAGTTTTTAAACTTAATCTCCATGTAAAAACAGGAATAAATTGAATGCATAATTAAAATATATGTTGTCAATTATCATACCTTTTTGCCTAGACTATAAATAAGCTTCATTTTTCCTGTTATAGTCACTAAATTAATTTATGCTTGTTTTTCCATTAAAACAAGTTACTTTGACCGGGTGCGGTGACTCATACCTGTAATCCCAGCACTTTGGGAGGCCGAGGTGGGTGGATCATGAGGTCAGGAGTTCGAGACCAGCCTAGCCAACATGGCGAAACCCCATCTCCACTAGAAATACAAAAATTAGCCAGGCATGGTGACCGGCACCTGTAGTCCCAGCTGCTCAGGAGGCTGAGGCAGGAGAAGCGTTTGAAACCAGAAGGCAGAGATTGCAGTGAACTGAGATCATGCCACTGCACTCCCACTTGGGTGAAGGAGTGACACTCCGTCTCATAAATAAATTAATTAATAAGAAAAATTAGCCGGGCATGGTGGTGCACACCTGTAATCCCAGCTACTCAGGAGACTGAGGCAGGAGAATTGCTTGAACCTGGAAGGCGGAGGTTGCAGTGAGCTGAGATCGCACCATTGTACTCCAGCCTGGGTGACAGAGCAAGACTCCATCTCAAAAGAAAAAAAAAAAAACCAGGTTACTTTAAAATGTCTTATAAAATCTCAGTTTCTTATAGTAAAACTATTTGTAGCTAATGAAAAGGAAGTTTTGATACATTTAACAGTATTACCACTAA